CTGGTACTTTTAATTACTGTGTGCCATGTAGATGAATCTTGGGCAAAGACCACTTGTTTTCAGATAAGCCTTACCTAGACATAGATTTCTTGATCTGCTATGTATAATTTGTCAGTAGGTTGTTTGACTAATATGGTTCCCTCTGGTTTTTAGAACTAGCTAGGCATTATTTATCTCTCACATTGTCTAACCCCTCCATCACGGTTTCCCCAATTAAGGTGCCCCCATTTTCCCCCTTTCTCCCTGAATAATACCCTTTTCCTATGGTTCTACCTCTCTTGAGCTCCTTCTTTCCCTTCATCCCCTAGGTTCCTTGTATACCCTTGCCTCCCCTCTCCCTTCAACTAACCCAAATTTTAGCCATATCTCCCTTATTAACGCCTGTTTCCTACTGTTCTTCTCTTTCTGGTTCGTTCTTTTCCTTTAACTCCCAGATTCCTTTCAATTATCCTTGTTCCTGTAGTTATGTCTGGATACATACTCACTTATCAGGGTTTGGTTCTAGGATCCACATAAGCGGGAGAACATATGTCGATTTATTTTTTTCCTGAGCCTGTGTTACTTCACTTAGTATAACAGTTTCTAGTTCCATCAATTTACCTGCGAATTTTATGATTTCCTCTTTCCTTACTGCTGAGTAAAACTCCATTGTATAAATAAATCACATTTTCATTATCCACTCATCAATTGAGGGACACTTAGTTGCCTTCCATCTCTTAGCTGTTGTGAAAAGAGCAGCAACAAACATGGATGTACAAGTGTTTCTGAAATAGGATTTCTTTGGGTGTATGCCAAGGAATGGTAAAACTGGGTCAAATGGTAGGTTCATTTGTAGTTTTTAGAGTTCTCCACACTGCTTTCCATAGGGGTTGAACCAGTTTGCAGCCCCACCAGCAGTGGATGAGTGTTCCCCTTTCCCCACATCCTATCCAACATTTGGTATCATTTGCCCTCTTGATCTTAGCCAGTCTAACTGGGGTAAGATGAAATCTTAAAATGGTTTTAATTTTCATTTCCCTCATTACTAGTGATGTTGAACATCTTTTAAGATGCTTCTTAGCCATCTTTACTCCTTCTTTTGAGAACTCTGTTCAGCTCCTTAGCTCATCTTTTAATTGGGTTACTTCCTTTCTTCATTCTCTGTTTTTTTGAGTTCCTTATATATTCTGGATGTTAAACCTCTGTCAGATGTGTTGCTGGTGAAGATTTTCTCCCATTCTGTGGGTTTTCTCTTCCTTCCCTGGTTTCCTCCTTTGATATACAGAAGCTTTTTAGTTTAATGAGGTCCCATTTGTTATATCTTCATTGAATTTCTTTTTGCAACCCCTTGGGTATACTTGTTCCTTTGTTCAGCTCTTTGTATTGCATCAGGAACTCTCTGAAGGGCTGGTTTTGTGGACATGAGTTCCTTCAGCCTATTTATGTCACAGAAGATTTTTCTTTCCCCTTTGAATATAATAGACATTTTGGCTGGGTATAGTAATCTGGGTTGGCATCTATGGTCATTTAAAACTGGGAATACTTTGGTCCAGGGTCTTCTGGCTTTCATAGTTTGCACTGAAAAGTCAGCTGTAATCCTAATGGGTTTTCCTTTACATGTGACTTGTTTTCTTTTGCAGCTTTCAGTATTGCCTCTTTGTTCTGTACATTTAGTGTTTTTACTATGATGTGCTGTGAAGAGTTTCTTTTCTGGTCCTGTCTATTTGGTGTTCTCTATGCTTCTTGTATTTGTATGGGCATGTCTTTCTTTAATTTTGGGAAATTTTCTTCGATTCTGTTGAAGATCTGGTCAATACCATTATCTTGAGATTCTTCTCCTTCATGTATGCCTATGATTTGTAAGTTTGGTCTTTTTATGGTGTCACACAATTCCTGCATATTCCATTCTTTAAAATTTTCATAATCTTTGCTTGAGTGGTCTACTTGGTTCACTTTATCTTCCAGCCTTGATATTCTATTTTCCATTTCATTCATCCTGTAGGTGAGGCTTTCTCCTTTTGTTTCTAATTGGCTTACTGAGTGTTTCACTTTTCTTCATTTCAGCATGTGTAATCTTCTATATTTTTAGCTCTTTTCTGAATTCCTTCAGAAGTTTATCCCTATCTTCCTTCAGTTCTTTGATTTCTTTGTGTGTTCTTTAAATTCATTGAATTCTTTTATCATTGTTTATAATTGTTCTTTTGAGTTCCATGTCCTGCATTATCTCCAGAGGGTTCTCATTGTGCTCCTCTAGAGGATTACTGGTATTTGGTGGGGATATGTTATTTTGGTTTTTCATGTTA